CAAGTGTATGGTGCGTGTTGTCACCCCGTCCACCAACCCCAGAGTTCCAGTCAGCTATCAGAAAGTCCTATTACTCACCTGCTGCAACTCTTCACAGAAATCGTTCTTTACAGTCGTGTCAGATACCGACGCCTGCAACCTAAATGGCTGTTACAATAAATTTCAAAATCTTTCCTTTAAATCGACCCACCGCAAACCGTGAGGATACTGGATTCCAAGCAATGTGTTCAGTGCCAGTGTTGCTAATTACAGCAGTTGGAACACCTTGGATATGGGTAGGTTGGGTGACTTTGTTGATCCGCTTTGGGTGGATCTCAGTCTGGTAACCGGATAGCGTTTAGTCCCGGCTCGCATAAGTGTGTGATCCGTATCTATCTCGTCTCCAGAATCTGCACCTGTGTGAGATTTGCAATTTTATACTGGTGAGGTCTATCGTGCACGCGCGAGAATATAGTGTCTGTGAGGCCATGTGACCGTCTTAAGAATACCGTTTCATTAAATATTTTGTGGTGATCATTGTCATCGCGACCGAAAATACAGTATCAGTGCTCAAAGCTGATATGCTTTACTGTGAAGAAAAGTACATAAGTAAATGGGAAGGGGATTTAGTCCGAGCTTACCACAATCATTCTGAGGTGCCTACATCTGCAATGAGGTAAAAACTGACAGCAACAATGTCGTCACCATCTATTAGCGGCCATATCTTGAAACGAGCTTCTTAATGCAGGCAAAGCTGTCACCATCTTCGCAGTGCTGAGTAAATCCAAACTGGCCAAACATGTGGTGCGTGTTTTCGTATTGTCTACCAACTCGAGCGTTCCAGACTCCCGTTACTATCAATAGATCTCATTTTGAAGCCTTTGACCACCTACAACCCTTCGTCTGCGTATTTTCTCTCCAGCGGCACCGAGCTGGATTTCCAACCCGCATTGTTCAAAGATGGGGGTGAAATCCTCAGTCAGTGCTTGTCTGATCTGTTTGCCTGCATTTTGTAGAACGAGACTGTCCCAGGCACCTGGCGATAGACGGTGATGACTCCAATTTTTTTAAAAAGGGGTTCGTAGTGAGTGGTAATCATAAGGGGTCAGCTTAAGCCTGGTCGTCAGGAGAGTGCTGGCGCCATTTCTGATACATCACTTTATGGTGACCATTGAAACGCTGAATAGATAGCAGCAAATAGGATTCCGGCATGTTAGGGGGTGCTAGAACAGTGCCACGCATTCATGTCAGTGTTCTGCATAATCGCCGTAAAAGACAGTTATCTTCTTGGCTTATACCAACTAACCCTTGGTCGCATCTACACGATGATTTTGCTGGGTCATTTAACAACCAGCGTTATCGTATTGTGGCTGACACTTGCAGTAAGTGGCCAGAGATAATCGTGGTGGATCACATCACTTCTCGCTTCACAGTCTTGCAGCTCACCCGAACCTTCAGTCGTTCCGGCGCGTCAGAAACAGTGGTTTCAGATAACGTCGGTGCATTTACCTCGGTGGAATTTGACCTGATTTACAAGTTAGATCACCACCATTCCATCCTCAGTCTCAGTCAAGTCGAACGCTTTGTTGACACTTAAACGAGCAATTCGAAAACTCAGAGGGAGAGAACTTCAGCGGAGACTATTATAAGCTTCTTGTTAAGCTACCGTGCGACACCTAATTCAAATGTGTCAAACGACAACTTACTCTCTGAAGCGCTTTTCGGGCATGCTTTTTGCTGACTTGTAAGGGTCTGTCAGGCGTACACGCACCATGGCGTGGTCGGGATCAAGTTATTTGCCCCAGAAGGGATGACAATCTTGAATTGTATCTCCCCACCGATGCCTGGTGTCCACGTGATCCAGTTGGGTCCACGGTTGTTTGCAGTTGGTGGCCGCTAGGTTACGAGATGCAAACGTTTATACTGAAAGTTCCTACTGGCCGGAAACAGCTCTAGATAAGCACATAACTGGAGAAGTCTTTCTTTGTTCTCTTGCTACAAGTATCGACTCCGAATCGACAGCCCGAATGTGATTCCAACGAGCTTAGACGACCTACTTGAGCATTTATATCGCCTTCCAGGATCAAAATGTCAGTGCTTCTTACTTGATGGATGTACCCGGATAGCTCTTGATTGAACGTATCCTTCTCAGCATCAGAACTGCATTCGTTGGGTCATAAGCCGACACTACAAACAGGAACCGCTTTTATGCTGAGATCCATTGAGCTTGATTGAACCGGATAACCAGACGGCGCAAAGACGATTGCTCACTGGGATCCAAACCAGAAAATCGCGTTCAGCTCTTGCGCTGAATGCAACCTCCACACCATATATCCCAAAAGTCATCGCTTCCGGGTCACCGGACAAAGGGAGAAATGTCAAAGAACTGAGTTCATCCTTGGCTTTCTGAGATGCATAAAAACGCCTGGGTCTTGTATGTGTACAGTTTCAATGCTGTATAAGGCTTCGACGAGCATTTCCTGTTTGCTAATTTGACATAGAATATGGATATTAAAAATTTCCATGTGTGAAGGATCTCGTTGACTTAGAGATGTGTTATTTTGTTCATTGTCAATCAAAATCAGGGAGCATAATACCTATCATTCAGATAACTGACAGTAAAATGACCCAGGAGCGTTTGCTCTTGTTATGGGAAGAGGTCGGGTAGGGGCTTCGGTGAACACAGAACTGCGTGGGCAAATGATACTTCCCGGTACCCAGGTCGAAGAATGGTGTTTGGTTGAGGTACCCCACCTTGAACCTTTGACTCAAAATTCCGACCCACAGGGCAGAGGGAGGATGTAGGGTTTTGTTCGGGGACCCCGCGAGGCAGTGGGCAATAGGTTAACGCTGCCCGGAACCGATGACTCAGCAATCTGATCGGCTGCAAGGGGTTGGCCCAACCCGATGGTGCAGGGAGTAAGGTATTACCGTCTTATTTCTGGTGCGGCTGCGCGCATCAGGTGCCTTTTTGTAGCACCAGACTTTCGTTTTAAAAGTATTTCGACTGTGTCAAATAATGCGACGGCTGTCACGGTCCACCGCTGGACGATCGGAGTGTGTGGTTTTTGGGATTGACCTTTTCTAACCTGTCTCTTCATGGGAAGGCAGCATTGCTGCTTCGATAAATATGGACATGCTGGTTGGTTAGGGAAACTGCATTAGTGCCTTCACACTCCTATTGCAGTGGACAGTACGACTTTATCCACAGACCGACTAAATTTCTTAAGTCTTCTCAGCTGTTCAGTGGAACCTTCGAAAACCTATGCTCACTCTACTAGTAGTCAATGTGACGTACATCATGATCACTCATGTACTGTCTGCCTTTTCGTCGTTTTCATTCAGCTTTGACCAGGTAAAATAAGATCTGCGAGTTGGGCGTCTATCCGACATGGAGACATCTCCTAACTAGCATAAACTATAAATCGTAAGGAGCTCGCCTATCGCTGGATAATGCCTTCTTCCCAATACCAACTGACGTACGTCAGCACTGCTAATATGCCTTTTCCAACAACCCCTGAACAATGCTTCGAAAACACCGATGGTGAAAATCGTGGGTTTACCCCGTATCTTTCGTGCGTACACTCCAAGTTTCTGATCGATGAGGCGTCATGGATCGCACCATCACAGTGCATACCCTACCCTTGACAAGTTAACCGATGTCACGCCAGTTCCATAGTTGTCGAGGTTGGCAAAACCTGCTCTACCCACCTTTCCCAGATTCGAAAATCAATCTTATGCCCAGTCAGTTTACCAGCCACCAGGAGAACGGATATATCTACCACGTTGATTGGCAAGTATGCAAACTTGAGGTTTGAATTTGATCCCACCCAGTCTTGTAGCATTTGTGTAGCGTACACCAAACCGCATGGCAAAAATATTTGATTTATTCAAGTGATTTGCACCTCGCAAACATCTGAACTGGGTTTGAATTGATCCCACCCAGTCTTGTAGCATTTGTGTAGCGTACACCAAACCGCATGGCAAAAATATTTGATTTATTCAAGTGATTTGCACCTCGCAAACATCTGAACTGGAGAAAGCAATATACTCTGCATGTTGTCTGCGAGATAACGTTGTGGTTTAAGTAGTTATCAAGATTTGCTAAAGGTAGAAACGATTTACGTGGCGCTGAACCCCTTAGAATCTATTTTCACCACATTTCAGCTGCTGGAAACGTACTATGCCACGGTGTTCTAGTAAAAAAAGCGTTCAGCTGTAGCACCCTTCCGGTGCCTAGCTGCCATTCCACCCGAAGGAAGCATGAGGGCTGGGATACTGCCAGGTTGCCCAAGCCTAGACAGGAGAAGTCGAGTGGCGGAGGTCAGATTCGAACCACGAACCTCCCGGTCAGTAAATTCGCGCTCTAACTCGCCCCGTAAGAGACGTATATATGTGGAGTAGAGCTTAGCGAGAAAATTCCGTCTAAGTTGGTGGAGGTTTGTCTAGAGGGATGGCCTTTCTGTTGGCTCTTGGGTAAGTGGAATACCATCACCGAAGGAGCTAGGTGATCAGTACTCCCAAGTCCTTGTGGTTGACATGTGGGATGCGTCTGGCAGCGTTTCCGATAATTGTCGGAAAACCGGGTGATGAGGTTCAAAAAATAATCGCTCAATTGTTTGATGAGGCTTATTACGTGCAAACCCATTTGGTCACCTGGCGATCACATGGATCAGTGGAGCATATTATTAGGTCTTTAGGATACGGAAGAGCCTCCTGGTTTCGAGAGGAGGGCATAGATGGAAGAGACTGTTCAATTTCGCCTATTAATGAGCTTACCCTTCCATTTCTTCACGCTCTCCATGTGGCCGATATTACCTAATTTGCAATTTCTCAAGATGCTGGTAGCTCTGGTGCGGGATGGCCCAGTGGTAAGGGCGCGAATTTACTTAGGTCGTCGATCGAGCCCAGCATCTCTCCCTCTCCCTCTCGACTTCCCCTCTCTGGGTTTAGGCAACCTGGTATTATCTCAGCCCTCGTGCTTCCTTCGAGTGGCATGGTAGTTAGGCATCGAAAGGGCGCTACAATTGCATATTTCTTTCTTTTCTTTCTGGCGCATTAGCTAGTTGTAGATCAGGTGGCTGTTGCTCTGTTTGCCGAGCTCGGCGAAGAAATGTTTACTATCTTTCTTCTGGTGTGGAGCTTTGTCTCGTGAACAACCCGAAAGGCGTATAGTGTGCGGATGTTATTGCGCTACTTAGTTCAGATTCAATCAAGACTTAACATGTGTTAAATGCCGATAATAATGTTGCCATGCGAGTTGGTATGCGCTTAGCGCCCTCAGAGTTCTCACCGCTACTACAGGGTGAGACGAGTGCACCACAAAAGCTGGTCAGGACGTCAGCACTACAGAGGTGGTGGGCATATTTACCTATCTGGATAATTTCACTACGTCGGATGGCAAGCTTTTACCGGAATCGCCAAAGCCCGTTTCGCCCTGTTCCAACTTAAGCACCTCTGGGGTCGACGTGACATCAACATGTCAGTGAAAGTTAATGTCTACAATGTGGCACTGCGTTCAATATTTTTGGATGTGAAACCTGGCTAGTGCGCCGAAGGCAAGAGAAAGTTGCCTGTTTGACCGTCGATGCCTCCGGAGCATTACACGTGTATCGTGGGGACATTAGGCCAGCAATTTTGGGGTCCGATGAATGATACTCAGCAACAAATCAGCTGGTTGTCCATTTGGTGGGTTGATTCGACTGCACGCTGGCCTGGCCATATGTTCCCTATAACGAGTAATCGTCTGCGAGTTGGTGGCTCCAACCATCCCCGCATCAATCTTGGTTCTCTCCGACATCGCGTTGTCATGCACTCACTGGCGCAGTTATACCTATTCTCTTGTTCTTGACCCCCTTACCAAAAGATGTGGAAACGTGAACCGCCGTACAAACGTACACGGCTGTCAGGCTGAACCTAAATTAACTCTGGGTCGGTTGTGGATTACGGCATACCCTACCATTTTGGCTGCACAGAGTTGGTTATTCACAGGTCTGTGGGCAAGCAAGACGTTTTCAACCTAAACCTTGCGAGACCATTCACTTACTAAAAATACCCCTTTGCGTTTGTCAGACTTCTAAACGCTTTACTGCTGAGTTTTCAACTACGACAAGTGGTAGATGAGCGAGCACCATTGTAGCTGTTCGAGCAATAATATGTTCATTTATTTATTGAGTTCGCCCCACTAGTAATGTTCAAGTTTTTAGTGCACAAAATTTCCGATTCGATCGCGATTCTGTCTTCTAGATAGTTCATGCCTAAGCCAGTTGGAACTACTGGTATCTGGGCTTGAATTTGGCTGCTACGTATTTTAGCTAACCCTGAAATGGCGTGATTTCGTGTTTCACTTGCTGGAGCTTCTCTGTAGTTTTCCGTCTCATTTTCACTTTCCACCTCTCTTTTAGTGACTCCTGTCCCAGCTGTTTCAAAAGACATTTCGTCGTCATCCGAACTTATCACCGACAATTTCTCAATTTGGTTGTCGTCATGTCTCTGGAGTTAGGTAAGTCTCAGGCCTTTACCATTGATCTTCCAAAGTGAATATAATTCCCCCTCTGCCACGCGTTGTTCGCGGCAAGTCTGTCGTTTTTGGTGAAGATCCCAAGGGAAACTACGTCCTGTATGGCAACGGCAACAGTGTGATAATCAGAAATTTGAAGGTGCTTTTGTATCTCTCCCTGACCTACTTTTTGCATTTAACTTAGGATGTCTCAAAAAATGATATGTATACTCAACATTCTGGTGCTGTTAATGTGGCGAAATATTCCCCCAGTGGATTCTACATAGCATCTGCGGGTTTGTTCTTCCTCAGTTTGATCCCCTAACAACCCTCAGACAAATTTGGAAAGGTCCGTATATGGGACACTGTTAATGCTGAGCATGTGCTCAAGAACGAATTCCAACCATTTAGTGGTCCCATTTGCGACCTGGCATGGACTTCGGACAATCAGCGAATCATTGTTGGTGGAACTGGACAATCACAGTAAGGCAACCCCTTTAGTTGACAAAAATGTTTGCTTCATCCAGGTTTGGTGCTGTTTTTAATGCAGAAACCGGCGCGTCCGTCGGCGTCATCATGGGTGTGAGCAAGAACATCAACTCCGTTGATTTCCGACCCACCCGGCCATACCGGGCGATCACTGGTAACGACGAGGGCTTGGTGAACTACTTCGAAGGTCCGCCGTTTACTTTCAAACACTATTTCAAGGTATGTTGGCCTTTTGTTGAGCTTGACACGAATAAGGCCCGACCCTTCGGTGGTTGTCTGTTTCGGTTTTGTGATAATGATAAGGTGTCATAATGACCGTTCAACCGTGATATTCTTTTGGTGCTTAGTTGCCGTGCGACTCGAAGGACGTGTATGAGGTGGCGCCAGATTGCTCAAATCTGTACAGAAGTAATCGAATAGCCAGGGTTAGATTCGAACCAAGGACGTCCTAGTCAGTGGTTGCGCACCTAAACTTCTAAGCTGTGTAGATTCAACCGTTTGTGCAATCTGAGTGGTACTCCTCTCCTCAAAGAGCTCACAAAGTACAGCGTTCTTCCACCCCGAAACGTGGTTTACCCTGGTGCGGTGTATGCTAGGGATTGTGGTTTAGAGGATTAGTCGTTCGTCGATTCCGGTAGTTTTGCAAACATTTAATCACCAGTTGTGTCGCGTTTGTCAACAGACTGTGTGGATTGCATGCCTCTCATTGTGGGAACACCGGACAACTAGTACCGGAGGCTAGCACAGATTTGCGCCTGTTCTGTACGAATATGCCACATCTGCTTTGAGGGGAGGTTGTGCGGGCGGGTTACTGAAGCGCACTTCCACAACTTTTATCAGTGCAATGCCCCACCCAATTATAAATGTTCCCTCCAGGATAGACTACCTGAAAGGACCGAGCGAAATGGCATCTTGCGTGAAGAGAATCGTAAGAACCGGGTATTGCAGGCGGAGCTTATTTTGCAGAACTAATGTTCGGTGTTACACCTCATTTATCTCTCATTTGGGATGTCTTGCACTTCGAGATTTACTTAAGCTAAAATATCAGTAGATTTCAGGTTATCCATGAGCACAAACGGTCTTCCATTGATACGATCATGGAAGACTCACTACCAGTCTCCAGTGCCTGTGGGGTCGAAGTGCTCCCTGGGCATCCGCTCACAGACATCGAGTAAGCTCTTCCAAACCTGCAACAGATACCTTTATCAAAACATGAACTTGCGGTTGCTCGTCGAACAGTGATTTTGACCTCTGCTCCTATTTGCTGATATCCTGCCGAATACCTAAACTGGAAGACGGCTTCTACCTGACCTTCAGTGCTACAGATAACAGCGAAAAGGAAAGGCCTCTCCAAATGACATATATTCCACCCCAGCAGTCGCTTCTAACAACGACGTTCCATAGGGTGTACTGTGGCCCAAGAACTGCTGTTTAAAGGTATGGTTTGATAAGCCATTGAATACCCTTATTCACTGTCTCATATTCCGCTCTACATTCCTGGACCCAGTGGATGGTAATGGACATACTCAGAATATTATCGAACGTGCATGTCTTTTTCATGAGTTCGCGTGTGAATTTGAACCTTGGTCTCTTGGTCGTTTGAAACCCCAAAGGATACTCAAGTGGGCATCGCATGTAGGGTTGGTTACCCCATAGATTAAGACTCTTCAGTATAGGGTCATATGTATGTGGTCCAATATTACGGTCACCTTTCGTTGCGAACCGCTGACCTGCGGCGTTGTGAAAGTGCTACCCATTAAACTTATATTCAATTATTTGATTATTATTTTATTATATTTTGATCATGTGTTCTTTCTGTGCCATCATCCACCCTACTGCAGCATCACACGACTTTCGTCAATATTGTTCGGTTTTGTCCAAGTGGTACCTGTTTTGTATCTGGTGGAGCTGATGGCAAGGTAAGCAATCAGATGTGTACTCTTGTTATCAAACTTTCAGATATTTGTTTACGACGCTCAGGCTGGGTCAACAATTGGTGAGGTTGGAAGTCCTGCACACTCCGGTGGCGTGTATGGGATTTGTTTTTCCACGGACGGCTCACGAATGCTGTCTGGTTCTGCGGACAAAACTCTAAAATTGTGGAAGGTCGAAGGTCAAGAGATCTCTGCTCTATCCACACACCAATTTCCAAACGATACGTCTTATATGGTGGTGAGTTTTAGTCAAATCGCCTTCCTCTTTCAGTAGCTAATATTCCGTACGCTAACCCCTCATCACGTCGATCTCGTACCATCTGTTTTCATATGACCTTTCTGTTGACCCATTTTCGTCAACACATTCAACACGAGCTCGTTTACAAGTTAGTGTGTGGCTACAACGTCCCCTTCAGCGACTTCATCGGTTTCAGCTGCGGACAGTCCTAGTTTTTCGTTGAGGGTTCATGATGATCGTAGCTTCAAACCAAGCCATCGACGCATCATTTTTATCAACCTACCCAACATTCATCATTCACGATTTTTTGCTAACTTCAGATAAGTTTTTATGCATACTTAGACAGTAACTCACAGCACTCACATACGGAAGGATATATCGCTTTGATGACAAAAGCCGGTGATCTTATTATGTAGGCTGGTTCTCTGGGGCGGAATCGAGCGAGTGTGGCTGGTTTCGAAAAAAAACTAACCATTTCTAGCAAGGATAACGCTCTGTAGTTACCAATGATCAAACACTTGAAAATCCACTTTGTAATCATCGATTTTCGGTTAATTCCTAATGCCTAATTCTTCAGGTTTTGCTGAAACCTCTTTTCATCATCAACCGTCTATATCGCTGGTTATCATGGTTGTAACATGGTGCCCTGATGCCTTTTTGTCTTCAATCTACTGAAATGAGCCTGATCCAACAGCTTGTGGCTCTAAGCGAGACCACACATGCGTCCAATACATGCTTTGGTAAGGTTCAGTTGCCAGTATGGAGCACGCATAACTAATCAGGACAAAAATTGTTGCCATCTAGTGAAGTTGGAACCGATGTACTGTCACTCGGATTACTCAGTTCCTCAGTTCTAGTTTGAATGGGAAGCGGTCTTTTGCCAAGAGCGATCTGACCGAATTAATCGAACTTAGATAGATGCATTTGTGAATGTTACATAGGTTGCCCATGAATCTGGTGCAAGACTTGCCCAACCTTATTTGAGAGTGTAATCTTCGCTTCATGTGAGGTGATCGTATTGAGGCAGCGCGGGTTATACTTCAGGGGCTCATTATCAGCCGTAGTACCGCATTGAAAACAAGTCCTCCAGCCGCAATACTAATAAAGTTGACGAAATCACTGGACATCCCCTGACCGGTTTTTATCTAGAAAGTAATCTCGAGAGGTATGTATTTTGATGGCAGTGATAAAACTTGAATATCTGTCCTTTTGTGATCCTTATTTTATATCTTTTCCCGGTGTATAAAAATGGGTGACGGCATGCCTTAAGCCTTCTACTCAGGGCAAGTATATTGATAGCAGGACCTTCTGGGACTCAAGTGCAAGGGGATGCTTGAGTTGAAGTTTGGTGATGCGAACTGGCTTTCACGGCTGTGCTTGTTCCCTATTTTGGGCTGCATCTGTTTGCCCATACCTGTACTTCGCTGGCCGTTCAGAATATTGTTTTTATATATGATACGTAGTACCAATCGTCTACTTAACTGGCAGTAAAACAGCGGTGCCAGTTTGATGACGACTGGATAGTTCGACTTTGTTCCGATAAGGTCATATCATGTTCCATACGATAGTGGACGTTGTGTTCCGGAGCTCATCAAGTTTTTTGCCGTGCTAAGTGATTTGGAAATGGTTTTGTTGCAAAGTGGAAAAATTAGGTAGGGAAAACTTATCATGAAAATTCCAAGATGCTAAAACCTTCAACCTTTCAATAAGACGCTGTGGACGGAAAAAATAACGAAAATGTCTTCGAAAGTGGCCGAAAACCGTTACTCACAACGTTTTCAGACAGGAGAGGCCAGTATTCCCCTTGTTGCATTGTTATCATTTTCAACGTAACTCTCACTCACATACTGAAGTAAAGTGCTTCGGATTTTTGAGTGACACGGCGACAAAAACAAGCCGAGCTACTAACATCTTTGTGTTATGGCAACAATTCCCCAGTCCACTGTTATGTATAATCTCGTTTTATGAACGAACCGGATTACATCTACCTTTTTTTATCCTATTTTGATGTTTGCTACAGTATATCTGGGCTCACAGTTAGCCGAAAGAACAGTGTACCTAGTTTATCGTAGCTCGTACATCGCCGTCAAGCTGCTGTCTGGATGGGGTCGATCGAGTCCGGGCAGCGAGTGCTGTGATTTATGGTCCACGCTGAATGGCCGCCCTGATACCAGTGCTCCATGACATCAAACAAAAAAGCAAATCTTTCAGTTGTGCTTACCCTTTGATGCCGTATTGGAGCTGAGGGGAGCACTGGCACAATAATAGCCCGTTTGAAGCTGGTGTAGTGGAACGTCGCTTTTTGTTCGATCGAATTTGATCGAACCACATGCACATATTCTAACCGATTGTGTTTTGATTGTGTTTGAAAGATTTCTACTGGATAATACTTATTGGTTCCCCGTAGCACAGAAGAACAGCACGAGTCACTGGAATATTGAGTGGACGATATGCAACCCATCCTCCGCTTCACTGGCTACATGCACTGAATTTTGTCAGATATACTGGACTTACAGTCATGGTCATTTCAAAAGTTACAGGCACAAAAACCAGCGCCAATACGACTAACCGCGATGAATTCTGACTACAGCACACTGCAATTGATCTGAGGATATCATCCAACATGTATCCCGTTTACATACTGTTAGATGGACGATTCGAGGCCAGTAGGAGGTATTGTGACAATGGTTTCCCAACCTCGAGGACAGTGTCGGTCAGAAATAATCAAAAAATGAATTTTTTGGCCAAAATATGGCAAGTTATCGATTCATCCTACCAACATTTTTTGGACGATCTTATTCGTGACAGAAATTGAGCCTAACAAGTTAGTGGTTAGTTGGGTTACTGGGCTTTTCGTGATGTGTGGGCGCCTGCTGGTCAGTTTTCCGGCTGAAAACCGAGATAAGGTGGTCCCAGCTGCTGCAGTTTAGTTCACCGAGGATAAAGAGCATAAGGGGGTGAGAGCCTGGCATTGGAAGCGTGGTCCCAGCCAGCTCACCGACGTTTAAGGGCCCTATTTGTAGCTTGGTTTTAGCGGAAGTGACGGAACAAAATCCAGTGGGTGAAAGTGTAGTCGATTGCCTACGCTTTTTTTTCGTTCAGTTGGGTGATGAAGACCTGTAGATTTAAATCGCGACGCTTTTCGGTGTCTCAGCAACCTAGGCAGGTCTTGATAGCCAGGCCATTTCATCGGGTCAGTCATTACACACATACGGATAACCACTATAGTGGTATCAAATTTAGCTTTACTGACTGCCCTCGATGCTGCTTGACTGAACAAAAACGTTTGGTTATGCTGAATCCGTGGTGTGAGATCTTGTGTTCAATATTGGTTTCCGTTTCACTTATTGTTAAGATTGCATAGTCGAACTCAATGTTTTCTGGAATTCTTAACACGTATGTTTTTGATTTCGAATTTCATCGTCATAAATTCTCTAACTCAGTGAAAACCGGAGTTCCGCAGGTTATTTGAATTCTATCAGGAACCGTTGTTAAGTTACCTACAACATGTGCAGTTTCATGCAACGGCTACTTAAAAAAATCATTCAGCTGTCGCACCCTTTCGGTGCCTAACTGCCATGCCACTCGTAGGTTGCACGAGGGCTGAGATACCGCCAGGTTGCCCAAGCCTAGACAGGGCAAGTCGGGAGGCAGAGGTCGGGTTCGAACCACGGACCTTCCGGTCAGTAAATTCGCGATCTAACCATTTGGGCCATCTCTCGGCTACGTAGCGGAACTGATATAGTGTAAGCTTCAAAAACAGGTCTGATATGAATCACATTTTCCGGATTGTTAATTCAACCAGACGTATGAAGTGGCAATCCGTCGCAAAGTTTCCAGATATTGGTCTCTGTCCGTTCGACCAGCACCAGATCAAGTGGTCGTTACCTTGTAATCCCAACGCACGTTTCAACTCATCCATCCTACTTAGGTCGTCACTCAAGACCTATTGCTTTTCACTTCAGGTGAGTGCTTGACACTGGTTGACCACATCCTTCATTAGCGGCTAGACTCCTCAGGCCTGGGGTTTAGCATAACCACCAAATGGTGCTTCGGGAACTTCTAGTAGTTAATAGTTTTGAAGTAATGAGGAACACTGGCAGTGGAATCCTAGACCATTACAAAGTGCGAGGTTGAGAGGATTGAAGTCTTTCAACAATCGTTACACATTTCAAACGTATCTTTAAACCTCTCAGAATTGCCCATAGGTCCTCTTCTCAAGCTTTCTGTCACCAGCATGAAATTGGGACGAAAAATGACTGTCATTTGTTACTCCGGAAATCTAAACAGTGCATCATCTAGTGCACCAAACAGATATTTTCGTGGAACATAATTTCATCCAGCTTCTCCACAGTTCCATGCCGGGGTACGTCAAGACTGTAGTATGACAAGAGTACGTTAATTAATAACCGCACATGTACGATGCACTGAATGTTAAATGGTGTTGGTTCTGTCTCTGTGTGATTTCAAACCAACAATATGCTTTAGTAGCAATATTCTGAGGAGTTACACGTCGATGAGAGTCGAATCTTACGAACTTACAGTAATAAAACGAGTTGCTGCGCTTTCCCCGTAATTCCTATATCACTGTAATAAATTTAACTTTAATCAATTTGAACAGTCTTTACGCGATTAGGCAGCTAACTACTTTAGGCTTGTTATTTTTTACACTTTGCTCAGGATACCTCAACTTATCGGTGACCAACCTGCACAATCCTGTTCGAAAGTTATTGCTTTTAGATATTGCAAATACTGTTAGTGACTAGAACTGTTAGTTGGTGTTCTTTGTGCCTTTGGCTTTCGGTCTGAAACATGCATTCTGATTTCACACGTGACATTTCGCGCGATGATTGTGGTGATACTTAGCACCAAACTACTTGTAAAAAATGCACGCAGCTTATGTGGCTACAACAGCTCCACGTATGAAGATGGTCGAAATCCTGTACCTTGCTTGGATTCCATGATCAAAGCTCAATGATTAGTCTGTCTTGAGAGCTGATTGTATGGAAGAAACCAAAGTCACAGTTCGAAGCGGAGACACATACTAACGAAATGACCGATTTAGCAACATTTGAAACATTTGACCACGTACTCCAGTCGATCGGATCTGTGAGAAGACGAGGTGCCGATAAACGTTGTTTTTTTCATCCCATGCAAAACCCTCACTGGTAGCTTCGGCGCATGTTAACATCAACAGAAACATCAGAACACCTTCAAAAGAGATACAATGCTATAGTAGGTAGGTGTTTTGATTCAGTACCTTCTTCGCACCTAAAACTGGCCATTTCAGTTGCCTTGCTGAGTGCCAGCATCCGGGATGTCCAATTGCACAATAGAAGTGTGGAAAATTTTCTGGAGTCAACGCAGTGTTCTCTTGTTATTGCTGTTGTCATGTCCCGGATTTCAAACTGACAAGTAGTTTGTTGTTGTCTCTTGGCATATGAAACATTTTGGTATTTGCCCAGGCATTTCTTGGGAGGGATGGTGGTCAGTCCTGCCAGTCACCACAACTGTAGGTGAACTGATAGGTGACACGGGATTCAGAAAGATCGGTTCTTTGGACTGTTTGGTTTTATCTACGCTGGAGTGGGCTATTCTTAAAGGGGCGACGGGAAAGGTGTGATCCAGATCAACCGTTGGTTTCTGCTTACTATCTATAAATATGTGCTCCCTCTTAAATAACTTACAAAAAGCCTGCACCTTCTCGCCTGCAGCAACTTAGCCTTTCTAATTATGTATTGGGACAAGCGATTCCGGCCAGGTATTGCGTAATGATGTTCATCTCATGAATTGTCTTTCTATGGCAATATGGACAACTTTTTAAAAGGCAAAATAAGGAGGGATGCGGTTTTTCAGTAGAGCAGGTGGAAATTCTATTAAGATGTTTTGCCAACTACAGACTGCCATCTATTATCAGTCATCACAGCTGTGTTACGCAGGCGAACAAATCGGATTCTGGCATTCAGTGGGACGATAATGATGAAAACGAGACAGAAAGGTTTGTGTGTGTGCAAAAGAAATGGACACAAAATGGCTGTCTAATTTGGCACTAATTTTGTAATTCTACTACCGGGTAATATTACTGCCTAACTGTTCAATTCCGCTAAAATAGCGAGGTAGTTGGCATCCCCAGATCATTTCTATGGTAATCTGCTTGGCGGAATTGTGGTATCACGCTAAAGCTTGAGGAAATTGACGAGTAAGGCCAACCCCTTGATGTAAGAGAAATGTCGGTGCTCATTTTTATGCTATCATGCTTAGGCTGGCTGACGGCTCTCAGGGGACCTCTGCACGTTTACCGGCCGATCGACCTTAAATCGGCATCAGCTTTGCACGTAGCACCACATTAAGCTCTGCGCGAACCGCTTTTGTTTCACATACTGTACGCAAGTGTCCGGTGGATTACCTACTGTTTGACGACAGGTCGGTTTCAAACCACTCTTGTCCCATTTCATTTTAGTTCACACATGACTGTATCTGGAGTCACCCCGGTCGACTGTCCTTTTTACAAATGTTTTGCCCTCCGTTACGTCCCCAAAATGCTACTGTTGCTATTCTACAGTGTGTGCTCCTTCAACTCTGTTATATGGTTTGAACAATCGAATTGGTGCCTACACAAACTGGCTGCGTATGTAGGTTTAATTTCTGTAGTTAAATAGCTCACGATGGAGAGCTTATAACTGTGTAGAACGAATAGGCTTACATTCGACTGCAGTTGCTTACAGTATTTCTCGGATTCTCGTCATCTGTTTGTAAGTGCACCTCACAATCAATCACATCTCAGCCATAGTTGTGGCGATTGCCTGAACTACGGTACAATAGTGTATTACTAGATAGCTAAGTCTGGAATGGATTCTTGATTGATTGCCGCTATTTTGAGATACCGTCCGCTGATGCGACCGGAATCGTTGTCTGTTCGTGCGAGTCGTATGGGAAGTGATCATTCGACGACAGTCGAACAGCAGTTCGTTTTTCGAGAATTTTTTCATCTTTGGTAGTAAAAAGTCAATTATTTTTAGCTAGAACTGTTTATCCCGCTGTCTCGCGGTCGTCTGTCAGGTTTAAGCTTGAACCGGAATTTACCACTCAATCTAGTTTGTTTTATTGTCGAGTCGTGTGAAAATTTCATTTGCTGTTTTACTTCACCGATATTATTTTGTGTACTTACATGATTGTCTTGGTTATTTTTGATTTCTTTTGGAAGGCGGGTAAAACTTAACAAAGTTGTTTGTTAGAATGTGCTGGAAATCAACTAGTCCGAAACCGGTTACGTTTTTCAACTTATTAAGAATTATGAAACTATCTTTAATGCACTCTGCTTTATGTGCATGAAGGGGTGCTGAACAGTTATAGTGAAGGTCGTCTTCCATTGCCTGCTGGCGTATCTGATGAGCTTTCATTTCTACTGAAGTAGAGAGCCAAATCGAAAAAACCGGGTCGACTTTCAAAGGCCAATTAATTAGGCCAAATTAGTTTGCAAATGAGTGTATATTCGCTAGCTGTGTAGCTGTTCGTGCAGTTCACTCTGTTTATTGTTGCATCACTTCATCGTGCCTGTAATCCTTCCGAATCGCTTGTTCAGAGCAGCTAAATCCGTTCCATCACATTTTCTAGCTTATGAGATGATCCAGTAGACTCACATATTTGCTCGTGATTCTTGTGCCTCTACTTGTATACTCTTTTTTTTCTCATGTGATTGCGATCACTGCCGCATCCTCAAGGTAAGGACTGGACGTCGGATAGTGGTCGAGGGTGCAGAATCTGTCTAAAGCGGCACAGCATGCTATTCGATTCGAGGTGCTACTCGTAGAGAGAAGTAGGAGGACAACAACACGATCAGCCAATAGCCGTCGGATGATAACACTGTACAACAAAATGTTGATGCAGGTCGAGGCCATCCACCTGACGAGTTTACTTCAGTCAGCAATGCGCCCACACTTTGGGAGCTTGGTGAACAAATAACGGCAGACTTGTACAAGTAGCTGAGCCGAACCCATCACAGTCAAACAAATTCGAACATCCACTGCTAATTCCGTAGTGGTGTTCAGCAATAAAACCCGGTTATTTTGCGTGATAAAATGAGATGTTTCGGAAGCAAATCAGTGCCTTTCTTTTGATCGATTTTCAGGATCACAATGATGTTTTTGTGGTAGAGATTCACATAGTAGTACTCTTGCACGACATCCATAGCTGGAAAAATGAAACTTCTTCCAGCATATATGGGTTAACAGTGGTTTCTAAGGCATAACTAGTTGAACTCGCGTGGCGATCTATCATTAAGTTGAGTCGTAACTTTGTGAATTGTTACTGCTCCCTCTGGAAAGTTCATACCAATGTGATCATCAAAATGTTCTATTGGGGGAGAGCTTTATTACTGAAACATGCTTCGAGACAACAGCTAAAATGCTATCTTCTGAGAACTGATCTCTAGCAGACACCAGCTGTGTTCATCGGTTTACGAAATTGTGGCAAATAGGACCGCCATAGGGCAAATACCCGGGTTTTATAGCTGTTGATGATGGTGACGACCCGTGTCTTTGTTGATGGAGGATTGTCTAACTTTTCTCCTCTACTCCATTCCCATGGTTTGTCTTGTCACTTCCAGTTGCGCTTGCTTTTTCTGGCGTGCGCTTCTAAGTAAAAAAAAAGTATTTTCTTGCATTCTTCGTTTCGGAGCATGAATTCTACCCGCTTATAATTGACTCTGGTGGAACTATGTACCAGCTAAAAATGACCCTTTTTTGGGCTTTCTACACTACACTTACTGTGTGACCAAGTTGGAACAATGCTGTTGTAAAAAGTCCTAAGCTAACTTATTTGGTTGTCTCGGATGTATTAATTATGATACCCCCCTCTGCCCTTTTTTCCAGCTGGGCTGCTGCTGGGTTGGAGACACTGTTGTCGCTCTAACATTCAACGGCTTCTTGCACCTGTTTGATGCTCCAACCCACGTGAATAGTTTATCTGAACCACGCATGGTTATCGCTGGGCATCAGACACTGATTACATGTGGTGTATACAACAAAAAACTCCAACGATTGATCACTGCCTCGTCGGATGCCAATATGGCCTCTTGGGACCTTCAGGCCGGTTTGGCCGAAATGTTTTTTGGGGAACATACCCATAAGGCCCAGGTTCAAAGCATCGCTTTGTGTGACAACTATCTTGTATCAGTAGGACTGGATGACCGGTGTGTGCTCGCCAACATCACAGAGAAATCCTTCATGTGAGTTCAATCTTACCATCCATCCCACAGCTTGGTTTGGCCTCCTTTATTCCACTTTTTGCGGGATTTCAACTTAGGAGTGCCAAATTTTGTTTACTGGCGCACTCGAAAGCTAGGTCTGTTGAATGGTCCAAGGTCAAGGAAATGCCCTTCTCACATGACATTCACCACAGCGTTTGCATCCGACCATTCGAAGGCCTCAAAATGAATTTGGATGGACCTATCTAATAAAGGAGCATTTTATACCATTTTTCTGATAACCTTGAACCTCAAGGCAGTCTGCGGGGTGCATTATGTTGCTTTCTTTATCAGACTCATTTTGCTTCAGAATCGCTTTTATTTCCGAAATGAAGTTCTTCCCATCAGGACAGACTTCAGGCACATGAGGAAATCGAACTCAAAGTATGTCAAAGATTCAGTGATGTTTTCATGCGATATGGATTCAGATGAGGAGAGTTGTTAAATCGTTGATTAGTTTCTGGGAGCCCTGAGGTTAGGTTGCGAATTACTGGCAAATACTTGCCTTTCAAAGCAACTCCTCTCTCACAGCATTTGACTAGAGCGAGCTCAAGACTGTTGATTATCGGTGGTTATTACGCAGACGTGTAGGCAAATGCACTGCGCGAACTACCGTCTGCCGACAGATATGTGAATTATCACACCACTACTGTTTTATCCTTGTCCCACTGTCCATTGGCACCCTACCTCGAACTAATTTTCTTTCCGATGTACGGCTAAACGTCTACAGTCTCGGGTTATCAGTCGTGCCCGTTTGGCCCTGGGTAGTAGGTGTTCATCTCACCCATTGTACTTCCTTCTGTTTGTACGACTGCCGGTTGTTGCTAATATGTTGCAGCCACGTATTTTGCATGACATTAGCTGCTTATATCTCGGGTCACTGAACCTTGTATGTGCTCGTAAGTCGTGGGGTTGTAGCTAGACCGATAACTACTGGCAAAAGCTATCAAGCGGTCATTTGCTTAATCTAATTACACTTCTTTTTGCCCACTTCGCTGATGCCCAACCACCGGAATGACGTTGCGATCCAGTTTTATCGTATTCATTTTTTATCTTCTTTAGAGCATCGATCAAGCTCCCCTCGCAACCACATTGTGTGGGCGTGATGCCCATTCAACATATAGCGGTCGTAGCCTGTGACAAGCACATCTGTTTGTTGAGTGCGTCGAATCGCACTCTTTCAATGCTAGATCACCAAGAGATCAGCTGTGGCCCGTGCACAATCACTGTCTCACCACAAACTGAAACGGCCATCGTTTGTAGCGCGGTACGTTTTTCCTTTTCATTGGCTGATTTTTGACATTCAGTTTACTCCAGGTTTTACTCATTTATGTTTCTTCTTCCTATTAGAGTGGACAAATCATGGCCTACAAAACAATGGATGGAAAACTTCACAAAACACAAGTGATGAATCCACCGTCACCTCTACCCATTATGGGTTCTTATTCACCTGATGGCTCGATGCTCGCATTAGTCGACGCTGATCGGACGGTGACTGTGCACAAAGTGAGTACTCCGTGGGGTGGGCAGGATTGTGTGTGCCGTTAGGTTTGTCAGCTCCATTTATATGTAGATCGATTTTGGGATTACGTGCTACTATCTCGTCTAGTGCGATAACTTGCAGACCTCGGCAACCCATTTAGCTATACTAGAGAATGCCCACACAGCTTCAACAGAGTCTCTCTTAACACTACAGTCAATGAAAAAAAGTCGGACAAACCCAGCCCTCCGGCCCTAAGGGTTTGAGTTTGGAAGCAGTGTGACGACCTTTTCATTAACAATTTGAAATGCCTTGGTAGCTGTACGTCAGTTCACGTTGCCTTGCAATTTGGCTTTTAGCTACATTATTTTGTTGATGGCTTTTGCTATTCCCTCGTCTAGGTCTGGCTACACTGGCAGTATTTCAGCCCGTCACATACGCAAACAAAATTAGCATTCGTTTTCGAAAACGTTTGGTGACGATCGGTAGATTTATTGCTGGGCAACGTTTCGCTTTTGACACAAAAGCTTCGTCAGGCCAAGTGACTAGGTTCCCAGGTTGGTGGAGATTTAAGGCGGAAACAGGACCAATCAGCTAAGTCAAGCTAAATTTCTGTTGGGTGTCGGCCGAGGGATTTTAGTGTATTAGAGTGGTTGAACAAGTGTTGGGTCGGTGGGGAAACCTACATGTGTTTGGGTCCAGCCTAGGGTCTAGTTCTTCTGGTTCGGTTCATTTGATGGTCCCCCTTGAACATCGTTTGAACCCTCTGTCCATCTGTGTGGGTGAGCTAGTGCTAAGATAGTTGTGTAAGAGGAATGCTGTGACCTTTGTTAGGGTTGGGATTGAAAATTAGCATTCCATTCGTCTGTTGGTCCCCTTATGCCTCATACACAGCAAGACGGATATGTAAAGACCTAATACTGATGACGCATCCTTTCTTCATTGTTATCTGTCCCAATCATTAACCGAGAGGCACCGATTGTGCGGCTCCTAGCTACCATTGCACATTTTCTGCTGCAGACTTATCCTCTGATTTTTGTTGTAGCCTTTAACGTGTGAATCGCTGAACTGATCAGCCAGTAATCTACTCTTGCATGCACTCTGAATACCTAATCGACAGGCATTTGGTCGCAGTAATCCGTCCTTTTTCAAATCCACTGGTCAGATGCTATCATTACTTAGCTCAAAACGATCCCGCATCTGTTGAGGCGTCTTTACCTGGAATGTGTGCTGTCCAACTGCGGGCTTTCAAAAGAACTCGCATTGTCGAACTACTTCTCTGTCTAGTGTATACTTAGACATCAGTGAAGTAGTGGTTCTTATTCAGCCAAAGGCACTTTCTATCTAGCCACACTCTTGTTCACCAGTACCAATCTTTTGGAGATTTTAACCACAGTTTATTCGAGATACAAGTGGCAAGAAATGACAATGGCAAACATCTTTTACAGATCCGTACTGATCCTTCGTTTCTTAGTAGCTTCCTTTTTGGATGCGATTGCTGCCGCTTTACCAACTAAGGTGCTCCTGCTGTCGAATAAAGCCTCGGCTATATTCATTTATCTCCATCAGCTACCGATGGCGAAGCCCAGTTTCCGACGACAGGTCTTTCCAAGTTGTACGGATCGATTTAGATCATGCTGTCGTTTAGCATAAGTTTACCGAATTTCCCAGCTAATTTAATTAGGGAGTATAAATGCTCGCTCAACCACAACTTAAATAAACGCACCGAAGCTTGCTGTGCAATAATTTAAATGCAGTTCCCTTTGGTGATCACTTGGAATTGGTAAGTATAAATACGCGTGACGCAGGTAACGTACGATGCGGTGTCTACAACCGCGCGCACATGTTGCTGGGTCTCAAAAAGACCTATCACTCTTACATATAAGACGCTGCATCCTTTGTGCCTCAGGGCATGGTTCAGCCGGATGGTCCGTTAAACATCAGCTCGAATGACGCGTGTTCATGGATATAGTCGTTGTGGAACCAGAAAGTCCAAGAAATAGAGGAAGCTAGTGTAGTTCAATATGCACAGACATCTTGGTTAATTTTTAAAACAGGACCCAAACGACTGCCTGTTATTGTGCTGATCGAAGATAATATTCGAATGGTACTTCAACGATCGACTAAACTGCTCAAGAGAAAACTCTCGCTGTGTACGTAATCTAGGGAGCATGAAACTTTTCCCATCGCGATCCTTCGAAGAAACAAACCTCCCAGAACCGAAAAAATACACTTTTTGGTTTCCCAAACAGTTATTTTACTCCTCAATAGGAAATGGGGCATTCAAGGACAGTCACAATGCAACCCAAGTTTGCTGACTATCCCTTTGGTGCGTTTGTGTATATGCATATTCGATACACCAATCCACCCAGTCAGCGAATTTCTCTTGCCTGAGCTTGGTTGATAAGCTCACCTAGCTTTCTAATCTGTAGTACCGATTGAGAGTCATTAAGCGGGAGGATAGAGCCGCACGGCCATTCAGTAACGATCGATTCCCTTGTATTCAGGCATCAGTTGCATCAGCCTCTGCGTCCAATGCGTAGTTATCTACTCCCACCTCCCCAAAGCATCAGCGAACGAGACTGCGGCAGCTATAGGCACTGTACAACAAGTGCATGGTCTGGACAGCGGGAGATAAGGATGATTCTCCAACAACCACACTTGTTTTTGTTATTACGCAAGAATACTCTTCCCAACAAATCCTCCTGTTTGACGATTACCATTTAAGTTAAGTGATATGAAAAAAACACCAGCTTCAGCACGTTAGTTGTCGAAAATACACATCCCTTCGAGGCAGTGAGAGACCTGCCCATCCAAAACTGAATGCATCTTCGAAAGTCAATATGGGAACTGCAGGGATGATCAGCCACTCTAGCAGCGAAGCAGCCATCTCGGGACGTACTAGGTGGTTTGCTGATGATATCTGATGATCTTTACCGTATGACTACTCGTGCACAGTTATTTATCTGGACAACCCGGTCTTGTATATGTTGGAATTAGACTGAATTGAGAAACCCAAACGTGTGAATGCAGTGGTTCACGTTGATTTTTTGAGAACGTTGGTTTCGACCACACGTGCGGGTGTAAAATTACCATTAAGGTCCAATTAGCATTAAGGTCCAAACGTAATTGCTGATGGTCTCTATTCGCATGTGGAGTTCAAAGCTGTAGTCATATAGACCAGCACAAAGGCCTGTGTATTGACTAACGCACTGGAAATCGGACCGACTACGATAATTTCGTCTGTTTCAACCGTTACCACACCTTTCTGGATTGTACCAATATTTGTGGTTGAAAAAGCAGACTGGCTTGCATGCGTTTGTGCTTATTTCTCGATAAAGATAAACGCGGATCGGAAAGTGTAGCAGTGCCCACTATTGGTGCCAGAGGACCTTCCTGTTAAGCTTAACAGAGGCAAGTCTTTTGCTTAACTGGATCTCACTGATTCACACCTAGACACACCAGTTGCGGATGATCCAAGCAAACTGTTGACCAACGTCAGACACTAAGACTTGCTTTTGTATAACCCTCATTCAATCGGCCGCTCCTACTGTTATCCAGCAACTCATGACTGCAATTCCCACCGACTTTTCAGCCACAGCAGCTAGCTTACATAACACTGTCACTTTTTAACACTGGGTTAAAAAGGTCAGACGTGATCCTTGCACGATTAGTCGAATACAAATTTCGAATTTGGCCTGACAAGGGCATCGCCAGTATGTCCCCAACCAACTACCATAGCTTTATGTTTGATCTTACTACCCAAAGACCTGCTTCGAAAAAAATGCCGCAGCAGTATAACGGTGCCACCACTCTCCGTTCTGATAGCATTGCGTCCGTTTTCGGTTTGATCAATCATTTGGTCGCTTTCTTACCGGGCTTCGCCCCCCTGCGAACCCAGATGAATCGGCTAGGTTGATGCATGCCAAGAACCTTTTGTGAAAGTCAAAGTGTGTCTGTCTTGTTCTGTACGCTTTGACACATTTTGAGTTAGTTGTCTTCTTGACGATGACTTCTGACGCGTATGTCTATGCTGTTGATGCGGTGGTATCGCCTGGCTTACCATATGCATCCGAAAGGGTTGACACATACGCGGTTTCCTGTTTTGGTTGCTTGCAGACGAAATTTTTATGCCCATATCACTCACATAGTCCTCGTCCTGTTGTCTATCAAATGATGCGTTTGGTTTTTGGATCCGTTATCCGTGCCCGAGCACACGTGATTTCGCAATACCCCCCGCACAAGGATGAGTGACCGTTTCCTCTGCTAGTGAATGAGTTTTGTAACATGACACTTAAAACCAACACAGGTTCGTTTATCGCATCTTTAATGTGCTTCTAAAAGTTTGAAAAGAATCTGCCAGTAGATAAGGAAGTAATTGGAAAGCTACGAAGGTTATTTTGACCAGTTATGGTAAAAATTTACCCACTTACGTTCATAGTGGGAGTATGTATTCATCGACCGATCATCTGCTGTGCTATTGAGACTGATTTGCTTATGTAAACCTATGGAAGGTTTTAGGAAATTTGTTTTTATACAGCTTAACTTCGAGGACCAGCTTAGGACCCTTCTGGGCTCCACAAGTTTCTTCAAGTCACTTGCATTTCAGTTCCGAAATGATCGGCGAACCCGCCGGTGCTTGTCTTATTTTGGCTCATCAGGATAGGCTCACTAATCACGGTTTGCTCGGTATGCTTCTGGAACGTAGCCAGTCTGTCCAGAAGACAGCACACTGCTGGAATCTTACCATCGATTTCTCGCTAACATTGCACTTGCGCATTGCTATTTATTTGGTTGGTGCATCATTTGCATTATGCCGTTTAACACACGGGCGACCCGACCGCTGGTCTAAGCTCGTTCCGGTGGACTTGCCTCACCTGAACAGAGACCGGTAAGTTGCTTTGTAACAATGGGTTATATCAGAGTTGACGTGTTGTAGCTGTTGAGTCATCTTAGTTGGTAGAGTTTCATCAATATGCACAAGTTTATGCCTTCAATGTTCACAGAATCAGTAATCCGGCCTCCTTTTCGGTCTTCTTCAATACCGGAACGGTATAGTTATCAAGTTCATGAGGAATTTCGGTCCAAATGAATCCAGGGTAGAAAAAATGTAATTTCAATGCAACAGGTTCTCTTGATTTTTTTCCAGCATTTTTACCGCAGGTATTCACTAAATTTAGTTGGGTTCAGTTGTTTCCCTTAGGCACCAACACACCAATTGAGTGTGAAACGACTGACTTGATTATTCTGTTCCCACCGAGCGACTCGAATAGCATCTTACTCTCGAATTTACAGTCCAGAAAGGAAATGCTGACTTTGAACTGTTCTTCCAGTTTCATCGAGACGGGTGCACAAAAAAGTTCTGTTCCACTGGTTCAAGTCGTCAGAATTTATGATGACATCAGTTTCCCCCTCTTAAAGTATGATTATAGTGCTCCTTCCCTGCGGAGTGTTGTAAACAGAGTTGTCTAAGCGCAATCTTTAATCGTAAATTTTGTGGACTTCGTCGTCATGATGAGTTTGATTGATGTGATTGCATGAATGCCGACCAGCGTATAGGTCACGCAGCTATGTTCGCGCGTTGATGTGACCTACACAGTATCCTTACATGTTGGTATCCACAGTACTGCCGTGTAGTTACGTGGGCATCTGCGTGAAGACCATTGCCAAGCGGATGACAATGGGATCAACGTCTACTCTGCCTAGATGGCATGCATTTGGACGTTTGCAGAGCGATAAAAAATTCCAAGGATAAACTCAGCAGACGTGGAAATGTTACAAGGACTAATGTGTGTGGGGAATCAAACGGTATCGACGTAATTCACCAAACCATAATGTGTGAAAAACGCGCTGAGACGATTCAGTCTGGGTGGGTGGCTGTGCATGTGTCACATGCGAGCTTCATTAAGCTGCATATCTTTAGCTCGATGTAGATGTAATTGTTGAACAGATTTCAGTCAGTACTGTAAAATGTGTTGTCAAACGCATTGTCATTCGGTGCTGCGTTTTTTTTTTTCAAATGCGGGGCCTTATTTCATGGAAGAAATTCAGTGAATTGTGGGTGACCCAAGCGCTTTACCGCCGATCTTTTCCGACATGCGATGAGTTGCTATCGGTATAGGACATATATGGTTTAATGATAATTGTTCAGCTGTAAAAACCTTACCATACCTAGCTGCCACGCCATCCGAAAGGAACACAAGGGTTAAGATAATGCCAGTCTAGACAGGAGCAGTCGAGATGCCGAGGTTGGGTTCGAACCAAAGACTTGCTAGGTCACCACTGTCCGCAGCGGTCTATGAAAACAATCCCTGCTCATTCTTTGTAGGGTTTCCCAGGTCTGAAATTTAGCTGGCTTCTGTGCAACATCTGTGGATCGCGTGAACGGTGCCCACCGGAAACGGATGGAATTTCCCTGTGAACTATCAACTGTGTTCTGAAAACTTCTGAAACGGCGGATTCCGCTCCTCCCACCAGACTTGGAACCCAGTTGCTGGAAGTACTGATATAACACGCATCCTTTGTAGAATGTATCCCTCTGAGCTTTCACATATCTCGGGAAATTTTGTCTAAAAGCTTCCAGTCGTTATGACATACTGGGTCTTTCATCAAAACCTGATTGCGATTCTTGGTTAATTCTTCCCCATGCCTCCTAAATGAAGTCATATTTCATCAGTCGTAGTGTCAGGCCACTCCTCGTTTATGATCAACTCCTTCTGATAACTGCGAAGTGACCAACAGTATCGTTAGTCCAGAGCGTTCTGAGTTTTCGGTTAGTTTTTAATAGGAAATATGATTTGTGTGTTAGAGAAGATCAGAGACTGGTTTGCGGTCAAGCAATTATTCTTAACACTGAATGCATGAATTTGTTAGATGCATGTGCATAGTTACCTGAATGCTACCAGGTTTTTTCCATTTCTGATAGATTGATTCACCTCTTGTTTCGTACCTTGGCAAGGTGCACTTTCGGCTGGTCACGTGGGCTTTCAGTACAGATCCAATCAGTTCCTTCTTTTTCACATATCCTCTCTTAATGCATAAAAAATTCTCTATTGATCGCCACGGGTTGTGCTTGCCCTCATCACTGCGCATCTTAACATCCTTGTTGCATTTGGTACCTGACGGTGTCTGTTGTCACCTGATGGCTTGCCGTTGTAAAAACCATACCAGTGAAACTAGCACTCTGAAGCCACAGCTGTGTTAATAATCTTCTGTTTTCTTCTTCGTCTGCTCTTCTCCACCCAGTCTCTTCGCGCTAAGAATTTAAAACCTAAGGGTGCACATGCTATAACAAACAGTCGACAGATTAGTTTGCTTTTTGTCACTACCGCCTAGTTGTGAGATCAAGCCTTAGTTTGCTTTGTTGAACATGTTTTTAGTTGAGTCTTTTGTTAACCAATCCGTTCTCGTGATAGACACAATCATGGTTTGCAAAATCTATTCGCATACTTGTTTGGTTTTCACGGGAAACCACCTGAAACGCAATTGAATCTCTCGTTTCATGATATTCTTCAGCTGAATATGCCGCACAAAGGGTGCCTAATGTTTCAGTCGGTACCGTATTCAAGATATCGGAGTATATTTTCATGGAGGAGACTAATCACAAAGTTGCTAAAAGCTCTTCATCAGCTCACGACCGGTTTCGTCCTTTTTGGCACTCATCAGGTAGGCGCAGCTCCCCAGGTGTGCTTGTAGGATTCCGTGCAACTTTGGTTCAATTAGAACATAAGGTTGACGGAAACTCGGGGGCTGTGTCTACCTTATGATCCCCATGATTCCCTAATCATTGCCTAGGTTTCATGGTTTGAGGTCCCGTATGATCCTGGATTAAGGAAGTTTCGTTCTGTGTTCTAATGAACCCCAGACTTCACATTCCAGCTTTTTGTTTGACTTGAACATTTCACTCTCCGGCTACAAGGTAATTAGAATGATTGACTGCGGTTTCACCTCTTGCGTTGATTTCAATCTAGACTCCTCGACTTCTCCATCTATCCGCTCTGTTATTGTTGATTCAAATCACTGTAGAACTAATCGAGCTGTAATGACCGTTATCCTTACGAACCATCTTGAAGGCAGTGGCACGACCTTGAGTGTTTCCTACTTACCGTAGTTGTGTCATTCTGCTCAGCGCTAAAGAGACTGTTGTGTGAAGTATTTTGATTGGTGCTATACCCCATCCAGGATATATCTTGTTTTTTTTTAAATAGAAATGGTTATAAATATCTTTTAATCCTACTCTTGTACTTTTCACCGCAGGTTTCCGACGAACGTGATATCAATCACGCACCCGTTTTGACTCCTGCTCATTCGGAATGGTGGCAAAGGCAGACAGCACGAATCACTGCCATTGGATGGAGTCCCAACGGACGGCGTCTTGCCACTGGCAGCCTGGACACCTCAATTGCAGTGTGGTCTGTCGATTCACCAAAAACTACGATTTACCTACGGAGTACGTTGTATTGTTGATGTGCTGGTGCATCACTTCCCTAGCTTATGAGATAACTGTTAGACGGAGTCTTTTTCCGAATAGGAAAGGGTCACATAAGGATTCGCTGTTTTAAAATATTGATAGCTCGGGTGAGTTTATTGGTTGTTGATCAGGTGGCTGTTGGTCTGATGTCCCCTTGTATGGTGACGAAACGTTTGCAAGTCAATTGCCAAGCACGGCGAACAGATCAACAGCCATCTGAGCAACAACCAATCGGGGTTTGCTGTGTCCCAACATCCTTTTAGTTATAAAGGCGCGTCAAAAGCGGAGTATTGTTGTCGGATTTAGAATGAACGGGAATTCTCGGTCTTTGAGGATAGAGGGAAGATGAATGGAATATTTTCCCTCGAGTATTATCCTTCTGAGAACCGAGCGTACAAAAGTTACAATAGGGGAACGCGCAACTAGTGATTCCACACACGCACACATAACGGCAACAGTTTTAATCGTAACAAAACCACGGGTGTCAATCTGTGCACGCTTAATTATTCTGCAGATATAGCCTAGGGGACCTAGCACTCCAGGATGAAGTGACCGGTCACAGTGTTTAGTCAGATTGTATTTGTTAGGTTGTATTGTGATACCTACCATCAGCGTTAGCTAACGGCAGAACAGGTAGTTGTTTGGTCCTCTCTTTTCCGTGTAATTCATTGGCCAAGAGCGAACTGCATCATAGACAGGTGTGTCGCTCACATGTGGAGTGTAGGCGGGATTAAACGCGAAGGCTGCGTTCACCATAAATGGCAGTTGGCAGTTCCGCCCATTCAATAGACACGCGGCGGCACACTAGAACCAAAAATTTTTCTACACCATCTGTGGATGATTGGCAAACTTCCGAGTTTACGAGTACAACCATAGACTCATGATCAAAGCGCAAAACCCTCTGAATTGGGCACTGTTACCAAAGGAACATTCCCTTCCGATCAATAGCAAAGCAAGTTACAGTCAACAAGCAGTCTCATGTTTGATCGAGTCTAAGCGTGCAATAATTCTCAATGGGATTCCCACTGAAAACATTTGCAAGTGTTTTGTTTAAGGTGATACATCTTGGTAACAGGGGATTTTATAAGGATTTCATCGTCGCCAAGACCAATGCACTTAAGTGAAACACGTGCGCACGAAAACAAATCATGAGAAAACAGGTGGGCAATAAAACCCGGGCTTCAAACTCAAATAGGAAGCGGTTCTAATTCGACTCACACCAAATAAATATGCTTCCGACAAAATCGTATTGTCACACAGCGGTTCCTGATGTTGTGGTCCCGGAGACCGATCGGAAGAGAAATTTCAGTTTATTAATCCAATGCCGTGGGTTCTTATGGATAAAAATCAGCATTTNGTTGTGGTCCCGGAGACCGGTCGGAAGAGAAATTTCAGTTTATTAATCCAATGCCGTGGGTTCTTATGGATAAAAATCAGCATTTTCGGCCGCTGTCTGCATGTTTCCTTGGGTCTTCGACTATGTTCGCTTGTGAATAGTACACTTTCCTATCTTAGCTCTGCGGTACTTAGATCTGGTTGATATCAATTTTCTCGTAGTCGCCGATGGCTTTAAGTCGTGGTATCAATTAAAACATCTTAGTGTTGCCGGTCATATTGTCAAAGCCCCAGTTTGTCTTCAGCAAAAAGCTCTGATGGTTGCCTGGAGGATGGCTTATCACATCCGTCTTCGGCAACCTCTGTTACGTCTAGACAAAAACTGCTGAAATCTTTGCTATGAATAAAGCTGATAAGATGTGTTCTGATGGATCGTCCAGGCCTACTGAGACTAGTAATACTAGGTATATTTCGCAGCGGAGCAGCTGTTGGTTACCGTACTGTATGAATACAACCAATCATTCAAAGACAAGACGTATTTCAAGGATTCCATATCGTTCCAATCTGGTTCCTGTCAGAAATCATTTTACGTCGTGTTCGAAATTGACATAATCAGCAGATACGCAAGATTCCTCACCAGCCCAGGCAACTAAACTGAATGCATATGTGAAGCCCGTTATGGAGGTAGCAGTCCCGCTAACATAGTAGTTGAAACCACGGGGTTGTAAGAGCGCTCGTTGCAGAGCACAAATGACTTGCTTCTTGCTTCAAAATCGAAGCGGCGTGAGTCTTCATAATCAGTCTTGACATATCATTCTTGGAAAGGTTCAGCGTGTGTACGTGTAAACGAGAACCATACTGTTTCTTTCGTTCAGGATTGGCTCAGGTGCCACTAGCGTTACCAACTGGCCTCATCTTCAACCCACATGTGTTAATGCCTTATCCTCACTAAAAAACAAACCTTAAACGTTAACCTTACGTGAGTTGGTACCAGCTGACCCCTCTCTTTTGTTAAGTTATCCGGATTATTTCGCTCGTGGCGATCAAAACACTGGGCGATACAACTCTGCTTACCGCTCTCTCATAAATAACCAATCCCAGCTCTTTCCTTACGCAGTTTTTTGCGTGTAATTCACCTCCCAAGCTGTGCTTGACGACTTTTCGGCCGAGGCACGCACAGGACTGTGCTACAGTGTTTCATTTACCTTAGTTGACATCTGGTTAACAGCAGTTCGTTAGTTTTGCGGCAACATAAAGTTTGAATGCTAATCTGTCAATAATCCGACCACTTTGTTCTGTTTCCATCCATACAGATGCCCATCCGATGAGCAGCAGTACTTCACTGTGCTGGACAGACGATTTTACTCTCGTCAGCACGGCGATGGACGGTAGCATTCGGTGCTGGACTGTCAAAGATAAATAGTCTCTATTCCAAACTGGACAATTATTTCACTGTTTCGCGCCTGCGTGCCCTTCGGGCTGCCGCAAAACGACTGTCTGCTCAATTGCTACACAACCGTTTATGTCGCTTTGAGTATGGATGCGGACATCCATTCGTGTTAGTGCATAAATCACGCTGCCTTGCTTACGTACCACTACTGACACAATCTACTCAATTTTTTGTGTAATTGATCTTGCTCTTCTTTTCTCCACAAAAGATGCCAACTTCGGCTGTTTTTACCGTTCTTTTCTCATACTAGCACGTTTGTCTTGTTGCTACTTGGTGGCGACCGTGTAGGGTTCATGGGGCTGCTCAAACCACTTATATGGTATCTGACTCGAGTTTCCAAAGATTAATACATATCAATGAATTGCCGCCTATTTCACTGTGCTCTGTTCCTCCAACGGATATTTCAAGTGCGACCCGTTAAAACCAACATACAGCAAAAGGGTAAAGTGAGGTTAACATTTGTACAGTTCGATCAGGGACCACTGAAGTTTACACCTACCTTGGAAAATCGGAACTTCCTCTAAAATCGTACTTAGTCATATCTGTCTTGACCACACACTCAAATTGTTTGTCTCTTTAGGCGGTTCAGTGTTTGTATTTCACTTACAAAACTTTTGAAGCTAGGTGCGTTGTACTTTTTATCGTACAGGACAGACTATAGTGCCCGCCAAAATGCTATGGAACCCAGAAGGCCGTGTGAGTCTTTATTCCGAAACTTTTCATATTCTTTTGTTTCCTCTCATGCTAATAAGGGCATGTGGGACGAGTAGACACGACAACATCAGCAATGCCATTTATTCACTAAAACCACCCGAATTATAGTTCCACTTGTCTATGCGTGGACACGCACGGGTGCTTGTGCTTGAGGGCCGGAACATAGCTGCTTGGTCTGGCTATGCTACAGAGCCTGGAGTGCCGTAGGTATTATGTGCATGAAATCAGTGGTGATTCTTAAACACACCTACACTCATTATCACACATAGTATGTTTTAGAGATTCACGAAATACTTCCCTATGTCCACCAGTCTGGTTCTAACAAGAGACTCAGCTGAATCTCTCGCTTATGGTATCCCTCAACTAAAGGCCACCTCGTGTCCAAGTTAGCACGATATTCGTGGTATTATAGTGTATTTTCTTGAAGGAAACTTCTCACAAGTTTTTCGGAGTTTTCAGCAACCTTATGTTTAATTTCCTTCAAAATAGTTTGGCGATGTTATGAAGTCGGAGTGGATAAATGGTTTCCATTAACATAAACTCATCGATTTCAGCATCACTGAAATTTGTTCGTTTTTGTGTTCGTCGCTCACCCAAAGCGTCGGTGCTAAGTCACACGGTGGTCTTAGATATCACCATTGATTCCTAGAACCAATCAACCACAGAGACTATCCTCAGAAGATTTCACATTTGGTTTGTCCTCAGCAGTAGGAGCATCCTTTTCAAAAAGAACTTGGTCGGTTCCCTCCTTCAAAAAGGATCAACTCTCCCGCAACAATCCGTACTTGTGCTCATTGTATCTTTGTATGATTATGATATTCTGTACACGTGAATATCTCTGTCATCTCGTAATTCGAGCCGTCCCAGCTCGTAGTCACGTGTGTGTCCTGTTGACACTGCCTGTCCACCGGCCCTATGGCTGTTTATTAACTCAAAACTGACGGGTCACAAGGCTTCTCTGAACCAAACGATTGTATAGGAGGGCTTTATACAATGTGCATGCTGTAGTTCAAGCCTTCATAGTGAAATGAATATTCAGTTGGGACAAATGTCAACGAGACCAGACCCACCATTATGGTATGGTCGTCATCACTTTTGCTGTCAAAATAAACAACAACCGGGCATGGGTCTTCCGTATCAAACAACGTATCCTCTAGCGTGAAGGTTACATCACAGTCTGTGATTGCTGGTTATGGCCTTTCTGACGGCAACGAAATGCGTTGATCTTGACGGTATCCAGTGTTCATTTAGTCGTGTCAGACGGCCTGGACAAACATTTTTGAAAACTGAGAGCATAGCCTCTTTAACTCGCCTCCATCCAATCTTCAAGCAGTGAGTCATTTAAGATAGCCGGTGATTGACTAAAGTCACGTTCGCACCAAAACGAATCAGTGTCTGCGTGAAACAGTTTTCTGAGTGGGGCTTCTGGGAATCATTTTCTCGTATGGTGGCGCCCATCGTTATTTGTGGGAAGCGAAATAACGAGAGATCCAGGCGAGTGTCCCGTTAAAAACCAGATCGGTGTTTAGATGAGTGTATAAGTCGAATTTCCTGCAATCTTGGAGGTTCAAACAGAAGACAAGATTGAGGGAAACTCGGGGACTCGGTCTATTTGATATACCTCAAAAAGGGCGGAACCGGTCGTGGGCTGTCTTTGAGTTTCAAACAACCTTACAAGTCTATGCAATGTATTAAGACATCTCGAGTATCGGACCAACTGAAACCTGAGGCGGCCTGTTTCGGCACATTCAGCTGGGTAAGAACATCATAAACATGAAATGCAGCTGGGTTCCAGGGAAGTCTCCCGAATTGGCATGCAGATAAGTGTGAGAAGTTTCCTTTACGTGGTAACCTAGTTCTCTTGTGGAATCCAAGTGTCTCTTGATTGTCCCAGTTCGGACGACAACTACCGACGATCCTCTCCTTTCTGGCTACCGTCAGAGGGAGAGGTATTTCTCGTAATCAATAAAATTTAGACATCTGGGGGCCTACCAATGAAGCATTGTCAGTGTCATTGACACACTTTTAGTGGATAATTCCTTCGTCACTTGGTTGAACGTTTGTGGTTTTTCCCATCTGGTTATCGTTTGTAGAATGTTTATCTCCTTGTGTCAATGCAAGGGGTCGTTGTTAGAAATGTGACCGGATTAAGGCATCCTGATATAGCTTTCCTGCTTATGCATCAATTCGCTCGAAGTTCGATCCAAATTCTCATGGAGAGTTGTTTACCAGTGAAGCCATGTTGGAACATTACCGTCGTATCAGTTCCGGAATTTGCAGTCCGCGATCACGTCTGAAAAGTCCTGAGTTTGCGTTGTGATGGACTTCGCTTGTTTTCTATCTTAACAAACATTTTTGAAAACTGAGAGCATAGCCTCTTTAACTCGCCTCCATCCAATCTTCAAGCAGTGAGTCATTTAAGATAGCCGGTGATTGACTAAAGTCACGTTCGCACCAAAACGAATCAGTGTCTGCGTGAAACAGTTTTCTGAGTGGGGCTTCTGGGAATCATTTTCTCGTATGGTGGCGCCCATCGTTATTTGTGGGAAGCGAAATAACGAGAGATCCAGGCGAGTGTCCCGTTAAAAACCAGATCGGTGTTTAGATGAGTGTATAAGTCGAATTTCCTGCAATCTTGGAGGTTCAAACAGAAGACAAGATTGAGGGAAACTCGGGGACTCGGTCTATTTGATATACCTCAAAAAGGGCGGAACCGGTCGTGGGCTGTCTTTGAGTTTCAAACAACCTTACAAGTCTATGCAATGTATTAAGACATCTCGAGTATCGGACCAACTGAAACCTGAGGCGGCCTGTTTCGGCACATTCAGCTGGGTAAGAACATCATAAACATGAAATGCAGCTGGGTTCCAGGGAAGTCTCCCGAATTGGCATGCAGATAAGTGTGAGAAGTTTCCTTTACGTGGTAACCTAGTTCTCTTGTGGAATCCAAGTGTCTCTTGATTGTCCCAGTTCGGACGACAACTACCGACGATCCTCTCCTTTCTGGCTACCGTCAGAGGGAGAGGTATTTCTCGTAATCAATAAAATTTAGACATCTGGGGGCCTACCAATGAAGCATTGTCAGTGTCATTGACACACTTTTAGTGGATAATTCCTTCGTCACTTGGTTGAACGTTTGTGGTTTTTCCCATCTGGTTATCGTTTGTAGAATGTTTATCTCCTTGTGTCAATGCAAGGGGTCGTTGTTAGAAATGTGACCGGATTAAGGCATCCTGATATAGCTTTCCTGCTTATGCATCAATTCGCTCGAAGTTCGATCCAAATTCTCATGGAGAGTTGTTTACCAGTGAAGCCATGTTGGAACATTACCGTCGTATCAGTTCCGGAATTTGCAGTCCGCGATCACGTCTGAAAAGTCCTGAGTTTGCGTTGTGATGGACTTCGCTTGTTTTCTATCTTAAGATGACTGTCTGCTGGTTCGATTTACCAGAATGTGGTCTATCGTTATTCTCAAGCCGGTTTGTTGCTGAACCAAATGTTGTTGGATCAGTAGCCCGTATTGCGAAAGGCCACGGGACTCCAAAATATCAAATTCTGTCTGATAAATCAAATCATAAGATGAGGACCTGATGTATGTCCAGTGCTGCATGCGGATCATTTGGTTACACGTTTGTCAGCACGCCATTCCACTTATCTGGAAGTAGTCTCGGAAACCGCATTGCACAACGCACTACTGTTGTTGGATCAGTAGCCCGTATTGCGAAAGGCCACGGGACTCCAAAATATCAAATTCTGTCTGATAAATCAAATCATAAGATGAGGACCTGATGTATGTCCAGTGCTGCATGCGGATCATTTGGTTACACGTTTGTCAGCACGCCATTCCACTTATCTGGAAGTAGTCTCGGAAACCGCATTGCACAACGCACTACTCAGTTGTAGGTACTTGTTGCAGTTTCATGTCCCCAGTCTTTTGGAAAATGTTTAACACTCGAATTTGTGCGCTGATAATTGAGGTATTTCACTGTACAGAGTTATCAGCAAGCGTGTCGATGGATCCGCACAACAAACAAATGTTTCCAGTGCAAACACGTTCCATCTGGTAAACGTCGATGAAGTGCAAATGGTTTCCCTCAGCACACTTCATCGTCCAGTTTCCTTGATCCGTTTCCTCTGATTGAGTCGTCGCCTTTTATTCATCTATTCTGCTTGTCTGTAGAGAGTCAGTTGCATGGTGAGAGGACCTGAGTGTCAGCATATAATCTTACTGCCTCAAATTGTATCTTACTGCCCACACAAGCCGTCATCTACTACCTGTTATTGAGTAGGGGCATCTGGTTCTAGTTGTAATTCTTGCTTTTTCGGTGAGAATGGTCACATTGTAATGTGTCATTCGGCATCTATCCCAACGGGATGGTTGATAGAGGTGAATTCGGATCCGCAAGAGCTCAGCTACACAATGCCATTCCTTCTCATTGGATGGAATGCGTGTCTCTTTGATGCGTTCGGTCAAGCATGTATCGGTAAGGCGAGCAGCAGTCAACCCCCGCTCCAACGGTTCGAACCTCTGGTTCTTCTATACATATGCACATGATATTATTCTTGTCATCACCTGAAAATCATTTTTAAAGGTATCAATTCTTGCGTCTCTCCGATTATTGTCCATGTAGCTTGAAGAACCACCTCATTCGGAAGTGAAAAAAAACTATTGGGCTTCATGTGCGTTGAATTATCTTTTACTGGAAGCAAGTCAATGTAGAATGGAATTCTTCGTCATCTCTCGTCAGTTTGCATAGCCTCATGAACTCCGTAAGTGTTAGTTCAATGGAATTAGGCTTTAGTGATTCAACGCTCGTATTAGCGGTTTCTTAGATTATTCCGTTATTCCATTCCACAAGCTGTTTTAACGCTCTTTCACAAAAAAAAAAAACGATACTTTGTAACCGGAATCAATAACTTCTACAAGTATCAATGTAGAGATGTGTGATGATTTGGTGTGTTTGGGCTACTCCGGTGGTGACAGTGTGCGACTCCTTGGCATACGCTCCAAGTCCGAATACTGAAGAATCAGCCTATACTCCTGCTAATTAAGTTTGTACCAACTGGGACCGGCCCACCCTATACAGTTATCACCCTCGAAGATGCCGACGAAATTCGACCTTTTCTGAGAGGGCCATAACACCGAAAAGAGTGCTAATTGTACCAGTTAAAAGTAGCCTCTTAGATTCAATCTATTTTGGTTGGTCTCTCCAAAGAGAAACAAGTATGTCAACAAATACTCTCATTTGCATACGAATTGGGTTTTGGTAGGATACTCAGCTGAATTCATCTGAATCTTGTTTATGTTAGTCCGCTTCAATTAAATGTGCTGCACCAGGGTTCTCAGCAACCTTATGAGTAGGGTGTAACTCTAGAAACAAGTATAGTATTGTGACTGTTAAAAGATACACTAACTGTCGTAAGCATCCAAATATTCAATACTGTAGCCACCCTCTGTAGCCGCCACTTTGTAACTTCAGCGGTGTTCCTCTGGGTAGGCCAACTCTCAAAAGAAATATTTTACTTCCATCAACGGTTAGAGCAGTTTGGTTTCGACTGTTTGACACCTTCAACGGGACCCCTTCAGATCTTGTTGTTTTAATGTCCATCAGTCCATAGGTCCCAACACCGAATGGCTGTAGATATTGGCTATCTCCAGACCAAGATCAGCCATCGCATGTCATCTACAGCAATGTGGAGAGAGGGTTGTTCTGACGTGCATGACACTGCACACGACATTGCTTACAGTTGGTATTTTTCGAAAGCGAGTGTGATAAATTACGATGTTCGATTTTGTCCCGTATGGCTGTACAACGTAGCGACATGTGAGACCATAACAGGTAAACATTTGTCGATCCATGCATTTTCACTGCACAGCAAAGTAAGCATGGCACCCTAGTTGAGGGGTGCAAATGTCCGACTCATGTGGAAAATGGTCCAACGGATTGGTTCCATCATGGAATAAAATTGCGCCTTGTGAAGGGGAGGTGAAATGACAAACTATCCTTATCCAGGTGAACTTCTAGAAAACGCGGTTTTCAGCAAGTATCCAGAGCAAGGATCTAATTAGTGAGCAATAAGATGACAGTGCTCACGAGATATTAGTTGATCATCTGTTTTTTAGTCCTGTAGCGAATTTTCCACGGTCTCATGTCTCTTTATCAAGGCATTGCTTCTAAAATTGATCTATTGGAAGCGTTAGTCAGCAGTGTTCGCATTAGTTTTCGAACAAAGTGACTTTTTTACTCATCCGGTTCATTTAGACCGCACTACAGTTTGGTGAGGCAGAATAGATTACAAAACCATGATCAACACAAAAACAGAACGAACCGAGTCGAGTATTCACCTTGCGACGGAACCCTTCCAAAGTCTACTTTATACTTTCTTGTCGGGGCGACAGTTATCAAGTTTTACTTGGCAAGGTCAGTTGTCGGAGCAGACCGTTTTTCGCTCCCTCAAACATTAGACCGCCTTCGGTCGATCCGTTGAGACGAGCTAACTTCATTCGACTCAGTAACGCTTTGACGGGCAGGACCTGATTTACCTCCTTACAAATCCTATAGGATATCAACAAACTCAGTACTTGAGGTACATGAGTTTTAGGATTAGAATCATCCGTCCACCAATCCAATATTGACAATAATCGACGTAAATTTGAACGGCATCAAGTGTGACATTGTTTAGCTGGGTCCAAGTTTCAGATATTTTTTGTATAGTATTGGTTATGCTTATGAGCCAGATTAGGCCCCCTGAAATTACTAGTATTAATTTAAGTTTACTATGCAAGCTCAAACTTTTTTTTACAAGAATAGAGTTTGCCCAGTGAAACGCTTCTCACAGTGCCCTATGTGAATTCATTCTATTATTTCGATCGAAGATAGACTATTATCAATACGGCGCCCTTCAGGAATTTCTCTGCTTAAGTCATAATCACGGGGTCCAATCAGTCATACAACAACCGACATGCAGCGAGCTGGCTGGATAAAAAATACCAACTAATAAAAATAATTGGTCGAACCAAGGACACCCAATTGTTCAAGATAAACTACGCAGATACTCATTTGCTAGTCATACAACATCCCTGGAAATTACTGGTACCTCTTGTAAAGCTGGTGTTAAAAATGAAAACTAAATCACACAGCCCCTTCCGCTCCCAGATCTCCAGGAAAATGATGGGGCAAGATAGCACAGATGATGTTGCATGAACTTAATGAAAGTGTGTTCGGTACCCAAAAACCGCAGTCACATGATATATTTCGTCCTCATCGAAACCCATTAGGCTGTCGTACGATGTTCGAGAGCTGCAGACACAGCATTAGTTCTTACGATCCGTATGTTTGATTCGAGTCCTAACCGTTCGAATGGCCGAACGATGACGCCAGTCGAATACTTCTTGGGCTAGAAAGCCATTTTACACTGAAGCGATCCATCCCTAACTTCATCGGTCAGTCGACCACGCATAGTGGTTTGCAGGACAATATCAAACCGTAGCACAACCACTAACCCACCGCTACGCACAACAACGCACTGATGATATCACCTCGATTGGTGATGAAACGCTTGCAATCAAATTGCCCAGCTCAGCGAACAAGCCAACGACCATCTACGCTACCTGAGCTACCGACATTCTCCTCTGTAGTAATGCTACCTGGCTACCGACATTCTCCTCTGTAGTACCATTGTCTTCAATTTTGAGTACTGCGGCGTTCTAAGTTTTTTCGAACGTACAGCCTAAAATCTACAAGTTTGGTGACTGGCTTATGGAGATTGAAGAATAAGTTAACATTTGCGAATGCATCTGTCCGTATTCCTTTTTGTTTCAGTTCAGCTGGCGTGAGTTAGCCTGGGGTAGAAGTTATCCTGATACCGTTTGTTCACTTCAACTGAGGGTAGCTGCCTTTTATATAATAATAGCCGACCAGCTCTGCTTGTATTCTAGGTCATTACACAGCTTATCAGTCGAGATGAAGAGTTCGGATCTTCTGGTCAGTAAATTCGCACTCTAAACAATTATCCATCTCACCCTCCATTCCCCAGGATAGAGATTCAAGAAAATCATCCAGCTCTAGTGTCCCCCTTGCCCCCATACATTACAACTTGCGTAGCGTAAACAAAAATTAGCTGTCGATTCCAAAACTTGTACATCAACCCTACTCATTTGCTAGTAATCACTCATATTTCTACCCGAAAAGACACTTACTACTCATTCATAGAAACTTATGACCAATAGTCGAGTGATTTGATAAATAGCTGGGAGGGATTCGTGGAATTGTCGAGCAAACCGTCCATCCTCATATTCACTCCGCATCTGTTCCTGATATGTTTATCGCCACATAAACGGACATCTAACCATCGCAAGCCATTGGTTAGTTGCAGTTGTCAGTCTCATTTCGGTGCACTAGTAACAAGAAGGCCCGATATAAGTTTTTCCTACAATGGGTTCGTACACTCAAGCGTTTTTGTCTCATCATTATTCCTATGCCTAGTATTACTTCGTACTACGTCTGCATAACACATCCACTATCGCTCAGGCCTGTTAACTAAGCAGGCAATTTGTCCATTCATATTATCCATTTGATACATAGCAGCCATGCCACCAGATGGATGCTCAATCTCTGGCAAACCGCCCAAACGTAGACAAGAACAAGCAGAAGGTTCTTAGTGGGCCAAAACTGCCTGCTTGCGAGTCCCTAAGTTCAAGCGTTTGCGCATTTCATGCTCAAAATGAGAAAATAAACATTCAAGGGCGAGCATTTTTCTGAGAAAACATTCTCGAGTTTGGTCAGATATTCGTTGATAGGTTGAAACAGTGAGCGTGAAATAATCTAGCCGAAAAATGGCGATAAAAATTATGACCATCAGGCAGGAAAGAGGACTTCCATGGGACAAAAGATTGGACAAGACAATTGTGCCTGACGAAGAAGCCCTTAGTATGACGAAGCTACCGAAACGCATCTCTTCTTGTGCTGTAAGTAGTGTATAACTTCCAGATGATCTCAGGATGTTTTATGGTCATAACTCTGCCTCACTTTTATATATTGTAGATAATCATTTTATCGCCTACTGGGCCATAAATGAACGGCCTTGAGTGTTTTGATGATAACTCGGATTTCATCCACGAAGAGACTCCCGGTTTTTTCGGATGTTACATTCTGGTTTCATTGAACCCCACCGCTCGTGGAAGAACGTATATTGGATTCACGGTGAATCCCAACAGACGAATTCGGCAACACAATGGTGGCCGAATCAAAGGGGGTGCCAAATCAACGGCTGGACGTGGGCCTTGGGATATGGTGTTGATTGTTCATGGCTTTCCAAATGACATTTCGGCGCTTCGGGTAAGGGTCGCTTTGTATAAATTCCTGTCTTTTTTTCCACAGTTCGAATGGGCATGGCAAAACCCAAATCTGTCTCGTAGACTTGCCCATTTAGTCTCTCCTAGGCGACCCAAAGAGTCGCCGTTTGATTATCGATTTCGTGTGCTCAGCGTGATGCTGTCCTCAGGTCCATGGAACCGACTTGGTCTAATTGTGAGGTGGATCAATCAGAGATATTTTCGTGAGTTTGATGGAGTCTGCGTTCCGCCGTTGCATATGCCAATTGTGTTCGGACCATTACACCCAGGAGAATCTAAAATGCCCCGAGACCCCTTGCCTCAGTTGAAAGCCTGCGGTATCTGTAGTGTGGAGTTTTCTGTAAGTTGAAACCTCATGCCGTGCCTACCGTTGCTTTCTGTATGGTCCATTCAACTACCATCATGTAATGCCTTTTTGTATCGAGATTCCTCCATCTTTTCAATGTGTCGTAAATCCCTTGAAGAATATCATCGTGTTAGGAGTTTCAAGACTGAAGAGCCAGCTGAGATTTAGCTCTTCATTCTTGGTGTGAAACTTCAATGGAAGGAAAGTATCACTCATCATTTCCTTGGGCCAAGTTTAATGTGTGACCCTAACCCGACCTCTCCTGAATTGTTGAGGTTCAGAATATTGGCAAGCATAGTGCGAAACTTACGTTTTTCTGACTCATTAATTCGGTGGGTAAGACCAGGTTATTTGAGACTGGGTAGTTAATGAGTGAATGATTCAATACTTCCGTCACTCGTGGCATTTATCATGTCGTCCGAGATCGCAGAATTCCACACTGGAATGCTTTACATAAGTATTCCTCAAAAAATCGTAATTTTATCGCTTTAGTTACGCGATTTTTGACGATCAAGCAACCACATTCTTTGTTGACCTTGTTCGACAATGTTTCCTTATTAAAGCTCTCTTCACTATTGAAGCAGAAGACGACTTAAAAGTTTACGTTCTTATGACCTCTTGAATGTCGTCCTTAATAATCGAGTCATCATTCTTTTGCGGTTTTCTCTTTCAGCCTTCCGCTTCTCCCGAAGAGGCCGTCCCGCTAACCTGTCCAGCACTGTGTCCATCAGGTCAATGGCATATGACTTGTCTTGCAAGACATTTGACTGCACGTTCAGCTGATAATGGGCAAGAGTCGGATTACTTGATCCCCTTGTGTGGCAGTTGTCCAGCTTGTGGCTCAGCCGACCTGTTTTGGCCGAATCTCATAGCCCAATGGAAGAAGCGCATTTGATTTCCCTCGGGCAATCAGATCTCTTTGTATGTACGAATTTATGTATTATAGAACATGTCATGAATTCAACAGCTTTTTCTCTTTTCCCTTGCGGCACTTCCAAGCTAGATAAGTTGACACTGTCCAGGAGCATGACCGCTAGATAGAGGTGTTTCACAGTGATGAATCTAATAACCCTGTTCCTTTTTTTACAGGAACAGTAATTCGACTTAAGAAAATGTTCGCTCACATTAGGCCTTGAGTAACTGTTGCTCAGTGAATGAACATATATATCTGATGTATAGCGTTTAAGATGAGGCTGACGTCAGCTACGAAGCGTTTATCTTAAACCCTCTCGAGTTCAGCATGTTTGAACATTATTCACGAGTTATTATCATGAACAACTTGAAAGGTTTCGATAAAAACGAAAAATAGTCCGGTGTAAAACGAGGACGTCCCACCGGCGTGAAATTCGAATGATTTCACACTTGCCGATTTCTCTTTGTGTATCTATCTACGTACTCTAAGTTCCATATCAAGGCACTTTTAGATTGATCTCGTGACATCTTATAAGTAATACGCTTCAACATAAAGAGTGAGTGAGCCGGACGGAACACTACTCAATACGGTTGTTGAAAACACTTTGATAGTGGACTGTAGCTCGAGAAAAAACAGTTGCCCACTTCAGGACCACATCAGTGTGGAGTTCGACTAAATATACATATTCCTAAACGGTGAACTCTCCCCAATCCTCAAGTTTTTTACAGGGAAAAAGGATGAGCGAACTAGACCCCGCTACAAACGTAAAAGAACGTACACACTATGTCTGGATTCGAGAATAAGATGACAAGTGGTGCGTGCAATAATCGGCCTATACCCCAATAGATCAAAGCTCCCCAGAGTTGGTCGAAATTCTGAAGTTGCAGGCCAGGAAAGCATTGAGATATGGGCTGAAAATAACGCTCGAAAATCATCGCCCGAAATTACGGTTTCAAGAAAATTTTGGCATAAGAATTCAGTACTTCAATCGCTGATCCGTTTGCTTACTCATGAGTAGTTCAGAAACTTTATAGCCTAGGCCTTGAAACCAAACCACGTCAGGCCGAATCAAAGCGTGTCAATATATTGGGGGAATTTGGTTGCAGTACCTGGAAGTATGGCCGTTCTCATAAAAAAGGAACTTGTTGTTCGCTCGAATGAATGCATGATAGAGGTATTTGCGTATTTTTTCCATCCCACAGTGGCGCCAGCCCGCTAGACTAGTGCAGTATCCCTGTTGGCGGACATCGTCTAACAAGCACTTTCACGTAATACCTAAATGCCCTTTGGCTAAACACCGGGAATCCGTCATTATTTTGCGCTAAAAACACTGCATTTTCAATAGTTATATTTCACCAGATTTTGCTGGGCCCTTACTGTTGGAACATGCAGAATTGCCTTCACCATTCAATATTGTTATGTTAGATGTAAAAAAAGCCTGAACAGCTGACAGCCGGGCATATGACCATGTGCAGATTGATCACCGATACGTGGCGGCTAATTGTGCCTATAATTTACTGAGCGTAATGACGAGACCTACCTGACTGCAAGCATGGAACTGCTAGCGCCGTAAAATAATCAGATATGTACCCACAGTAGGATTTGATGAAACAAATGATCATTTTACCTGACTGTTTTGGGATCGGTGGAATAAATAAGCAACTCTGCACTTATCTGTTGGATTCAAAAACAAGTAGCGAATAGCGCATAATTTACGGAATATGGTAATGTATTCAGCATCCAAATGGTTCTCCCAGTATTTTCTAATAAGCTCGTTGAAGATTGGAAATTACTGCATGGATGCATTCTCAAAAGGAGACTGGCCATACTCGAACCTCCATCTTGATTACACACGTTGCATATGAGATTCCACAGTTGGAGCTTAGAATAGCTCTCGTGTGCTTGAAAATATACCTAGGAAGTCGGTACTCGTCCCTCGCCACAGCAGTTAGCCTACTTGATTCGCCTAACTCAAAAGAGCTCACACGCTATCTCGCTATTTTCTGATTATTCTGTGGTAGCGTTTTGTCCGTTGCCACCGGTTGAGAAACCCTCCGTTAATAATTTATCAGTGGAATTACCCAATTAGCTGAACTTCGTTTTCCTCATATGCACACCTCAAGTGGGCGCCCATTACCTCAAGGTCAAGCAACCAAGCTTCGTCTGCATTTCTCCCACACACGAGTCAAGTAAACCCATCTGGTTATCGTCTGCTTGTACGCAGGGTTCGCGAATGTGCGTCAGTAATATGTGCTAAAAGTTACTAATATCACTAAAATTGGCCATCCAACATTCTGTTTCCCAAAGATGTGGCAGGCCACTTGCTGACTGACTCCTCGATTGAAGTCTCTTCAAAAGAAAATTTCACTCATTGGGTGAGTTTTATTCTCCTGATCTACTTATTGATGGTTAGTAGGGTGAAGAGTTTGGAGAAGTCCAAGTTTTCGTCCTGTAATTAAGACCAGTCTATGCTGAAAAGCACTACATAGCACTTACATCCTGATTGGGATTCGCTCTTCACGAAACTCAAAGGAGTTTCGAACCCGCAACCTCGTGTCTAGTAATTTGGAACGTTGAATGTTCTATCACGAGCCGAATGCTAAAGCTAATTCACTGTCCCCATTTAATGCCTCATACAAGATGGTGCGGGCTGTCAGCGCAGGGGTGAGGTGGTGAGAGTACACTCTAACGATAAAGCCTGGCTCCAAAATGGAGGTAATGCTATCCTGTCGCGAAAGAGAAGACACTATGAAATACCACTACGCTGAAGCGGCAAGGTCGCTGCTGCTGATTGATGCTCGGAGCAGAAAAAGCAGACTGGAAGTTGGCAAAAACAACCACGAGTCTATTTTCAACAGGTCCAAACTTAGCAGTGTGAGAATCTGTGGGAAGTTCTTCAGGTAATCTTCTGTGCCCTTAATATGTGCTCTCTCATATGCCGACGCGATACGCATATGAGTAAGATCGGAAGAGGATTCGTGGGTCCCCCACCAATCTGTGTCGATTGTACTTAGTACCCAGGGCATCAGTAGAAGGTGAGACTGCTACCGAATTCAACTTCTAGCCGCACACTGTTGTGATAATAACTGCTCTCACTGTGAATTCGTTAACGTATATCACCAGTGAATGATTGCTCCCCGAGGAGGAACTTCGATGCTCCACTTAAATAGATTTGTATGTCATTCAGCTTACTGCTCGATAGTGGATATACGCAACACATTCAATGCAATCAAAATGAATGTTCAGGATTGGTAATCAACCGGTACCTTTTCCTGTGGTAATAAGAATAAAAATCCGTAATTATTTCGCCATTTCTAAGTATTCGAAGATTTTTATGAAGCATAAACTATGTGTGCAGATTAAATATTCCCACTTTAGGGGACCCGATACAAATGACAATAACCGTCAAAAAGCAAGGGCTTCTGTGCCTGTGAGAAACATTTTATTCATGTAGACACCATGGATTTTTCATAGTTGTTTTTTACCGATGCAGTGTAGAAAACACTGAAGCATTGACAATTGTCATCCACAATTTTATTAGACTTGCTGGATAGAGACATGTCAGACATCAGCAAGGGGTGGAGAAATGAAGTTGCATTGACCAGAAGTGGTCCTACTTTAGTTGCAGACGGTTGGGGGATTTGTAGGATCCACGTTCACATCAACCTCACCTGAACAAACCTACCCCTGTCCTGCTGCAATTATGCTGGTGAGCCCACACTAAAGTGGGACAAGCGCTGAACTCGAGTTTCGCTCTTACTGGAGCTCGATAGTGGTGCACGTCTTTGGCCATGTCGGGATGTGAACTCCGTGCATTTGACACGCGAGGCGAGTGTGTTACTACTCCTCTACCAGCGCGCATCGGACGCAACTAAGAATCCCTGACAGGCAAGTCTATCGGTTGCGACAAACGGGACAGTTACTGGGTCGTCGTTCGAACCGTCGGACAAATCAGTGACGTCACCGAAGTGTGAACACGTCCACCTGTTCAAATCTGGCCTGATGTGTGCTGGTGGAGCAGTGGTAACACTTGCCCTGTATTTCAGGTGTTCGGATTTCAAACCCCGGTACGGCAGAGGATATGCACTATTGGAGAGCTCTAATAAGAGCGAAACGGCTCCAGTGCATTCACCTCTCGGTGTATATTTGCCAGAATAGTTGCGCCAGGACAGTAAGAGTACTGTTCAGGCGAGAGTGATGGTAACATGTATCCCCACTTTGTGGGTGTCTCATAATCTCATTTAGACGACTTATACTCCATTTAGCCACCCCACCTTAACAATGTGAGTAGAACATGACGTTGCATCAAAATCATCCAGTCAGTCGATAATATCATAGGTCAGTGATATGTACGGTTCCCAAAAGGGGCGGGTCTCAATCGCATCCGCTTCCAGCGTTTTGTTTGTAGACGCTTTGCAGAACAGGGACACTTTACATTTGCATCGAGCTGTATAAATGAGCTGCAGCTTCAAGAGCAATTTCCTACGAAAGTAGGCATTCAAAGTGTGGTCGAAAATCACGACCCAATCTTAAAAATATCGTACTACAAACAACATTGAATCCAAATACTTAACTCGCGAATCAACGCACATCTTTTTCAAGTAGCAGATCCAACTCTCCTGCTGGAAAACGGAAAAAATTTTGAAAGCTGCGACAGCAGAATGTTAAGCAAACTGAGATAACTTTGTAGAAATGCGGTTTTTCAATGTTTGAATGATGAAGGAAATGAATCTTATCTGGTAGACACTCTATCTGAATTATTAATGCACTCTGTGTGGGAAAGAGAAAGAATGCTGGTACAATAAATCTGACAGATTTAATGAAAGTTTTGCTAACCATGCTGTAATATTGGAAGAGTAATCCGGGAGTGGACAACTACATTTTATTCATTCTTTCTGACGGAGGTATAAACCGAACACGCATTCATAATGAGGGGAGAGGAATAACTCTCGTGAATCAAACCACTAATTCCCCGAAATTCATGACGACAATTAGGTTTACGGTATGGTGAGCGGATGTGGGAATTTTTGATGGAGATCTGTGACCATGGGAGT